TAGGGAAAATGTATACCTCCTCCTGTACTGTAGGCACCTTCGCAACTTTTCGCTAGACTTCCAGGCTCTGTTATCCCAGGGCTTACCTGCAGTGACACCTATAAGATGGCTCCATCCAACTGTAAAGAAGTGAGAGTGGGAAGAATGGTTTGGTCATCTGGTTTGGCATTTTCAAGAACAGGATGTTGAGCAGCCTGGGATGAGCCCATCTCATCCGTTTTTCCTCATTTTTCCTTTGGTATAGGAGCAACATCACTTGATGCAGGTGGACTCTTTTGTTAAAGAGCATGGCAAAGAATATCTCGCCATCAAAGTGATTGGACCAGATGATGAGGTGGAGAATGCTGAGGCACGTAACTTGGGCATGTAAGTGAAGAGGCCGTACATGATGGTTAGCAGAGTTAACCTGTGTCCAAACCAAGGCAGTCCAGTTTTCCCGAGTATCATCACTGTCAAGTGGATGCTTCTCTTCTTTCAGTCACCCTCTTCTTTCTATTTTTATAGCATTAACTCCCCATGCCCATTATGTATTGGAAAAAAATCAGCCCCGATACCAGCTCCCTTTCTCCAATTTCAGAAACCAAGTTCTCACAGGTTCTTTGCTCTGTTAGAAGGATAGCCCTGTACCTCCCACCCTTATCAAGCAGTCTATGTGCCCAGTCATAGATCACAGAGAATATGCCCCTATATCTCTGAAGAGGAGTGTAGTAGTGGAACTAAGAGCTCGTGGCAGAGTATCTTCCTGTCTGTGATCAGGAGGTGTGAGTTTGAGCTCGGGTCTGGATTTGGGCCAACCGTAAATGGGAACCTCTTCAGTTTGTGCTGGGGAAACAGTTGCTAAATGTTGATTTTGGCTGAGTCTTAGCGTCTGCTATTGGATACTGAATCTGATGTGCTCGTACTATGCTAGCCTTCTGAGTTGTTAACGTTAAACTGAACTTTTCTGAGCATCCAGAAGACGACCTGTAGTCTACAAGGTGAGGGAATTCCTGGTGTTCTGTCCCTTGTCTTGGTCTGTTCTAGGAGGATTTTGATGTGACTTTTCTCATTCTCTGGCTATAGGGATTTATGCAGAAAGGACCCTGACTGTGAGTATTACTTTAGCCTGGATGCTGAGATAGTTCTGAAGAACACAGAGACTCTAAGGATCCTGATTGAACAGAACAAGTAAGTTCTTTGGTCTGAGCAATCCTTACTGGTCATCTTTCACACAAGGAATACAGTGAGCTCTTTTATCACTGAGATGTGTAAGGCATTAGGAGAGCTGTGTCAGAGATGGAATGTTAGACAAACCTCTTATTTGGTCTTATTTTTACTGTAGTTGTAATCCCTGGATTTTAGGCAGTGGATGTAAATCATCCCTAGTTTTGTCTTTATATAGTCGCTAGGACAAATTGGATTCCAAGAGAGCTCCTGCAAGGAACAGTTAGATAGGAGATTGCGACCATATTTGCCCTTTTGTTTGTGGAATTTTATTCCAACAGAGTTAACAAAAGCAGCAACTCTGTAAGTAAGGGAGAGTCTAATTCTTACGGTCCTGTGGTTTGTAAATCTTTTCCTTTTCTTCCTGTGGTAATAATTGCTATCCTGCAATTCTTTTTTCTTTTGTGCTCACAGGCTGGTGATTGCCCCGCTGGTAAGCCGTCATGAGAAGTTGTGGTCAAATTTCTGGGGAGCGCTGAGCCCTGATGGATACTATGCCCGCTCAGAAGATTATGTGGATATTGTTCAAAGGCGGAGGGTGTGAGTATGCAAAGAGAGTTTCTCACTGATATAATCCCTCAAATGTAAAGCTTGCTGCAGCACGTTGTCATCAAACCAGCTAATGTCAAGGAACCAGATAACCCAACTGTCATTATGTATAGAAAAGAAGTCTGTACTCCCATTTGGAAGGTGCTCTCTGTTCTCCCCTGAGCAGAGACCATAACATACTTAGGGAAGATTTTCTTATGATCAGAGTAAGGGTTTGAGAGTCCTGACTCTGTTGAAATCACTTCGTCTTACTCATGTCCTGTTTTCCCACCTGTGGAATATAGTTAGTGTGATACTTAAAATCCTGTAAAATGCTGTTTAATCTTTACCAGATAGTCTTCATAAAATACCAGGTGATCCTTGAATGGAAGATTCACAAAATATAACTGTTGGTTCATTCATGTTCTTGAGGGGCCCTCTTTGGTTTTTTAGGCCATTATATGTGCGATAAATGCTGGAAATCAGCTTATGCACTTTTGGCTGGTTCAGTTTTTTTAAATCACTGGAAAAAAATATGTTGATCTCTCTGGGAAGAGATTCAAGCCATTAATTATGTCCCTAGCAAAAACACAGTAGCAATTAATTGCTTTCACAGTGGACCAGCATTTGTGCAGCTTAAAAGCTCTGTGCAAGTGATTTTTTCTGGAATGACAATTTCTATTGGTATGGTTTCTCCCTACTGTTCTGAGTTGTCTCATTTAGGCAAGTCTGGCTGATGATACTGCAGTGCTGCCTGCCATCCCATCAAGTCCAGCAGTTTCTGTCTTAATGGTATTTCAAGTCTTACTCTCCTACCACTCTGTTTCAGCGGGCTTTGGAATGTTCCCTACATCAGCAGCGTTTACATGGTTAAAGCCAAGGCTCTGCGATCGGAGCTTCACCAAGGAGATCTCTTCCACAGTGGCAAGCTGGATGCTGACATGGCTTTCTGCCATAACATTCGGAATCAGGTCAGTCAAGGAGAGAGAGGCTGGCAAGGGCAAACTGCATGCCAGAGTGGAGGTGACAAGATTAAGTACTTTCAAGGCATTCAGCTTTGCTGGGGCATGGGACACGATGAACTGGCATTACTCAATACCTTGCAGGCTTGGAACAGCGTGGAATTTCTATCTTGCTGTGAAAACACACAGAGCCAGGGACCACTAAATGTGGGTAACATTTTTGTTCTTGGGCCTGTTCAGGGCTGTTCTAAATGGGGTTGACAGGGTAAGAAGGAAGAACCTAATCTCACAGTAGCTGCTCTGCTTTCAACTCTGGCTGACAAGAGGCACAGAATAACTGGCTCCAGCTATAACCTTTCAAAGTTCCTCATATCCAGGTGGAAATTAAACTGAAGGGCCACAGGAGAAAGAATGAATAAATGAACAGCTTGGGCAGAGCTATCATTGCTGGGGAACTGTCCAGTGCTTATATTTCACAGTGGCTTACAGTAATGTGAGGCCTGGAAAGAAACCTTGATTGTTTCCCTCTGTCCTGCAGGGAGTCTTTATGTACCTGACAAATCGGCATCAGTTTGGACACATACTGTCCCTGGAGAATTATCAGACAACTCACCTCCACAATGACCTCTGGCAAATATTCAGCAATCCTGAGGTGAGATAACCTGCATACTCAGAAGGCTTAGCAATGTGGCATGTGAAGATTCAATGACTAGCTTCAACAATAAGGAAGGTCCAGGCTTTGTAATAATGATGTCTCTCAGGTGGGATGAGGAGTGTAGTCACAGAATTTGAAGAGAGGGTGTTTATGTGATTCATAACACCTGGATCTTGAAAGCCTGTGAAACACCGCCGCATGAGTGCCTGGCCATTCAGTGCCACTTTAACCCGGCTCCACAGAAATGACTGGTTTGCTTATCTTTTAACTGCAGGACTGGAGAGAAAAATACATCCATGAAAACTACACAGCAGCACTGAAAGGGAAATTGGTAGAAATGGTAAGAAAACATCTCTTTTATCCACCAGAATGGGAGATTAGCATCAGAACAGTGCTTGTATCATCACTATTGTCATTCTCAGGAATAAGCTGTTCAGCATGACCTTGTAGTCTTTCAAATCAAGAGGAAACATAACCTTGAAAGCATTTTTAGAGCCAAATAATTTCTACCAGTACATTTCCAGCTCTCTTAAGTGGAAGCGGGGCACATAAATCAGAAAACAAATTTCTATCCTCAATATTTTAGTTATTTTCCACTTAAACTGACTCAATCTACAGTCAGTTTAGTCTTACTGTGTTTGCTTCAAGCACCTGTCCTTGCTTCTGCTGTTCTCACCTGTCTACTTTCTGCAGCCCTGCCCAGATGTTTACTGGTTCCCCATATTCACTGACACTGCCTGTGATGAGCTGGTGGAAGAAATGGAACATTATGGCCAGTGGTCCACGGGTGACAACACGGTAAGAAAAAGCAGGAGCTTTTTGATTTCTGGATCACACCATTATCCATGCCTGTTTGGTGGCAGCAATGCCTCCTTTAGGAAGGCATTAGATCCCACAGTTAAGCCAGGAAACTGGAGGCAATACTCTAATTTTGTTCCCAATTAACTCTGTGATTTTTGCCCTTGTTCTTGAACGTGAATTAAATTTTCTGAGTCCTCTTTAGTGTTCCCTGAAGCTACAGTGCTCAGCCTTTCTGATGGTGATATTCTTTACCTTAGGGTTTAATTATTATTTGAAATGAGTTTTCCATCCTGGAAATTCTGATAAATAAACATCATCTTTATTTGTAGTTACCAGAAACAAGTGCTTTTCATTCCTGAAGTCCAAGGTTCCCATCCTCATGGGTATTCTCATGATTCTATTTCAGGACAGCAGAATACAAGGAGGTTATGAGAATGTCCCAACTATAGACATACACATGAACCAAATTGGCTTTGAAAGAGAATGGTATAAGTTTCTTCTGGACTATATTGCACCCATCACAGAGAAACTGTACCCAGGATACTACACCAAGGTATGTATACCTTAGCATCAAAACTTGTGGTCACCTCAGCACCTCCTCCAGTTGCAACTTTGTGAAAAGACTGCTAGAATCCTCTAGCAATATGCGTACTATTTCCCAGTATGGAGGCACTGACCCTGGAGTATGACATAAGTATATGTATCAGGAAATAAACAATTTCCCAATGACATTCTTCTGCCTTCCTGTTGCCTTTCTCTCTTAGCAGTGGGATGCAATTTAATTATTACACCCTGCTCTGCAGCTCAGTAGCCATGGACTACTATAGCCCTGTAACAAACGTGCACTTTGTTCTTCTCTCCCGCAGACTCAGTTTGAGCTAGCCTTTGTAGTTCGCTACAAACCTGATGAGCAGCCCTCTTTAATGCCCCATCATGATGCTTCCACCTTTACCATTAACATTGCTCTGAACCGAGTTGGAATAGACTATGAGGTAAGTGTGAGCCAGTGTGTCAAGGATTCAGTACAGTCTCTTGAGCAGTCCAGGCAGCTGAAAACCCTTTCCTTATCCCTACCTGTCTTCTTCACACTAAGGATTGCAATTAATAGCTGGGCTAGAGTAGAAGGTTTTTGAATGCATCAGAACATAGGAGATTCCCCAAGCACCTTCTCACACTTTCAGAAAGACTGCCAGGAGAAGGCAGAGACCCTTTCCCTGAGATGCTTTTACCAGGCTGATCTGTCTCTTGTTTTGTTTCCGTCAGGGAGGAGGCTGCCGGTTCCTGCGCTACAATTGCTCCATTCGAGCTCCACGGAAAGGGTGGACCCTTATGCATCCAGGACGCCTGACCCACTATCATGAAGGTCTTCCAACCACCAAAGGAACCCGTTATATCGCAGTGTCCTTTCTTGACCCCTAGAGCCATGCTTCACAGGAAGAACCTTTCCCTGGCCCTGCTCACTGCTGACTTTGAGTGGAAACAGGGAATGCTGCTGAGAGTTTCTAAGGCATTGATCAAAGCTATTTGGATATTGATTTTTAACACTATTTTAAGACTCCACTACTGGAAGATCTCCCTCTCTGATACTGCAGGTAATATCTAGGAATATTGCTGTAGAAATTGGAAGGAGATTTTGTGCCTTCAATTTTGATTCTGCTCTTCATCCACTGTTTCTTGGAAATGTGATTTACTTGAACCTTCACTGAGTGGTTGGCTCTACAAAAATGCTTTCTTGGACTGAAAATCCAGCTTTTTGGAGGCAAGTCACAAGCTCTCTCTCCAAGTAGCTGAAAGCCCATTTTCATCCACAGCATATACGGGACTGGACATTAGACAATATTTCCTGGATACTATTCCAAATACGAACCAATCAGGGAGCTAACTCCAGGAGTCATAACAGTTAAATGTTATACTAGATGAAACTCAGTACTAAGAGCCTGAAGATCATCTGATTTCTTACCTCTCTGCAGTCCTTGGAAGCATATCACAAAGGTCAAAGCAGCAGCGGTGGCAATATAGGTGCTTCAGGTTAGCTAAAGGAAGGACGGCTAATGATACTTTACCTCTGGGATTAGACTAAAGAGATAAAAGATAGCCTCCCTTTCACCTATTGCTGCAGCTGAAAGGAGGGTGCATAGCCAGACAAATTCAGACCGTGTTGGTATGCATAGATAAATCTCTTAAGAAAGGGAAGGCTACAACAATTAGATCAGTCAGAAGGGTTTCACTGCTGAATTGTCTCTGTTCTATCCCATGTTAAGACTGTCAAAAGCTCTAATCAATCTCTGAATAACAACCCAGAGGCTCCAGTGGTCTTTGGTGGCCTCATTCTGGTTCTCAGAGATTGTTTTGGTAACTATCCTTGCATCTAGTTTGAATGAGCCATCGAAGAGCTGTTCTCTGGTGCTTAGAGGAAATCATTGTTCAGTGTTTCTGAGATTCCAAACCAAAACACTCCACTGCAGACAATTCTTCAGTGGGGTCGCAGCTGATAGAAATGAGTGGTTGGAAAGTGCTGAGAGATTGTGGTGAACTGGTAGGTGTAATAATCTGTCTAGACTAGACCCGTGGCTAGAGAGGGAAGGAGGAGAAACCTTTTCTGCTGTTGCCTGTGAGACACCTGCTCTGCTTATCAGACACTGCTATGCTCTGGGTTTCACAGCAGTAAATTCACATCATGATTTTCTGTAAGAAAAAATATCTTCCTCTTAGTTCTCTCTGTTTCCAGCTTCTACTGTCTAATTGTCAGGTGTGGAGCACCTTCACCTAGGACGGGTTGCATTAATGCAGGCAGAATAGCTTTAGATGTGTAAATTCTGGCAGGGAACTTTATTAAACAATTTGAAGGGACCTGAAGAAGGCGACATAAACCTTTTTCCGCTACTTTCCTTGAGCTTTTAAGGTCTATTTTAAGGCTACACAGTCACACGTGCCCAAGGGAGAAAAATCGGGGCGGCGACAATCAGTTTGAAAAGGAAACCAATAATAAATCTTGTTAGGTGAAATCCGGAACTATCTGTTACCAAAAGAAGGGACTTGATAGGCCACTCGTTGCGGTGTCGAAAAGGTGTATGTATTTATTCAGCAGTTGTTTTTTTCACTTACTTTGTTGTGTCTTTCCTCTGCCCAGTGCGGTGATTGGAATTAATTCGTAGTCTGTCACACGAGGTGTACAGTTTCAGCCAGGGAAACTCGCATTAAACCCTTTACCCCACGGTCACGCCGTCCTGG